ACAAAGAGCAACATACAAAGAGTAAGAAGCAAAAAAGTACAGAATCATAACCATAATAATCATAATAATAATCATAAATACTCAAATCTATTATTCATAGATTGCAATGACAACACTGATAGCTTATTATCATTAGTATTAAGGATGGGAGAGGGAAAGGGACAGCGGGAGGGGGTTCTGGGGGGCATTGTCTCCTAAGGGGCAAATGTAATGGGGATGGACGTCCAAAGAAACAAGCAGACAAAGAGAAGGGCCGGGAAGGCAGCAGGGGCTGGGGATGCTGCTGCCAAGGCTGGGGACGCTGCTGCCAAGGCTGGGGACGAGCCTGCTCTGACCCAAGCCTCTGGCTCCATGTTGCCAACCTGATTGCTGCCCTCCTGCCAGCTTTGCTCAGCCCCCTGAAAGGCGGCTGGGAAGGAGGCAGTTGGGGGGCTCAGCCCTGGGGACAGGCAGGGGCTGCAGGGAAGGGTGCAATGTCCCTTCTAGCCTGAAGGAAAGCTATGGTTTGTTCTGTCCTTCGTGTGGTGGAAAGCTCAGCCATTGCCACTGCTGTAACCATCGGGTACTGAACAGCTTTGTTGGTTCCTCTCTTGAAAGGAGAGACCTTTCATCTCTGCTCACACTTCTGCCACTGTGGGTCCCTACTAATAAATGTACCCTCATCAGATTGGCATTGAAAGATGATTTTTGGTTTCAGTGAGGCTTTGGGCTGGGTTGTCTGGCTGTGAGAGCCCATAAAAAGACTCGGCTGACAGATGATGAGGAGGGCTACAAGCCGGCACATCCGTCCTCATGATAACTCACATCTCTCTGATTCATGGACAAAGTGGTTTATTAGACAGAGTCTGACTTAAAAAAAATCATTTAAGTTAATTGCAAGTCACTTGGTGACCCTGACGGCTTTGGGTCACCACTGGCAGAAGACACTCAGGCGGGGCTGCTCCATCAAGGCATATTTTCTGGATGTAGCCTTAAAATATTGCATGAAAGAGCTTCTAGTGCACATGTACAATGTAAAGGAGAAGGATGAATGCAAAGTACACCAAAATAAGGCTGCAGAGCTGGGTCATGAATGTCTCTTGGCAGTTATGATCTACTAACCTTAAAATCTACTTCTCTCTGCTCTGGTCTCAGAGGAGAGAGGAGTCCATAGTGTTAAAGCCACAAACATGGCTGAGGAGCATCCAGGGGATGGCAGAGTGGAAATCACAGAAAGCAAACCATGTATCTGTCTTTTGCAGACATTTAGAGTCTCATTTACAGTATGCACCCTCTCCTCCCTGGTTACTCCAGCTGTTTTTTTTGCGCCCTTACCACACCGTGTCAGCTAACAGGATGAGTTACATGAGAGCTCTCTAGCATCTTATCTCACCTGGCTGTGTTGACTTGTTGCCCTCTTTTTTATTAAGTCCCTTGGGAAGTCATCTAGCCGCCTCTCCATTGCCCAAAGCTACACCCAACCAGCTCCTGCCAGCAACTTGCCTGACCTGAGCTCAGTTGCTCTGTGCTGGCACTAACCCTGGAGGACTGTGGAACGGGCAGGAACTGAGCGATATGGAGCAGAGATCTGCAGGTGATGGCCCCTAGAGTGCTTGGGAAGAGATGTCACTGCCAAGGGCAGCAGGAGGGGAAGGGGGACCAGCAGCGCCGCTTGGGCAGGAGGCAAGCAACACTAATCCTGGGCTTGTGGGGCTTACCAGAGGGAGGATGAAGCCTTTTTCCCTCCCTCCTTAGATTTGACATTAATACCCATTTAGGAGCCCCAGCTGCAAGTGCAGCTCCTGAATAGCTGCCCAGCTCATGGGATGGACCCAAATGCTAATTGGAATCTAGAAAGGGAGCTTAGAAAATAGTGTAATTGTCCTTTCATGGCCAGAAGGGAGAAATGTTCAGGTTGGCAACAGTGAGCTGGTTTGAAGTGGTTGCTGGAGGCAATGATGGGTGGCAGTGGGCTTTTGAGGGGTGACTACGAGATCTCTCGCCCTCATCAAAAGTGATATGGGGAGAGAGGCAGGTGGTCCCTGCTCTCTAGCCACCCCTGTCCCTCCCTGCCACACCTTGGAGAACCAGGCAGGAGCATGTGGAGGTCCCCAGCATCTCACCAAATGGCCCCGTGGAAAACCAGAAAAACTAAAGCCGGCCTGAAGAGAGTGAGGAGCCTCCGGGGAGACTTGCCTCGACTGCGTACACAGAGGTGGTTGGGGAAGCAACCAGCTGAAGCGAGTAGCCCCTCCTCACGTGATTGCAGCTCCTCACGCCTCTGCTTCGTGTTCAGTTTTAAACCTGAGATCATTTGGTTTTGTCACATGTATTTCGATTTAAAGATAGAAACGAATGACGAGAGGAGGAACAAGGGAAAGGGAGAGAAACTGTGTGGACCCAGAAAAGAAAAAAACATCACTCCAAGGATGACACAGGACACAGACATGCACAAACAGAGACCCCTGAGGTATTAGCTTTGCAAACTAGCGCAAGAAAAGGGAGAAAGCAAAGACAGCCGCAGGCAGAGATGTGCTTTGCAGCGGCAGCAGTTTAGTGCCTACAGCTCCAGAAAGCAGCTTCTCAGCAAGCCTGATGTTGGGGTTTGAGGGCAAGAGCTTGGCTCCCCACCAGGACAGGGGGAAGCAGCCAAACACCTCTGAAAAAAGGGCGATTGTGCCCCCTGTGTGCTTGCAGAGCTTCATTTCTGGCTGGCTTATCACCTGCTGAAGGAGGGGAGCTGGCCCAGAGGGGAAGAGGGCCAGGAGAGTCCTGGCACCTGCAAACACTGCATGAGTTTCTCAGATGTGAAGTGAAAGATGGGGGAAGCCTGAAAAACCACCGCCCCCAAAGGGAAAATGGTGCCCATACCGCCCAAGCAAGGTGGCTGAGGCGAGGCGGAGCCGAGGGGCTGGGACGGGCAGGCAAGACATCCCCCGACAAGAAATCCCATCTACCACCAGCCTCCACTCCCTGCCTCTGCTGCGGCAGCCTCTGATGCCTTCCCCTTCTCCGCGCAGCCGGAGGAGACACCCAGCACCCTTCCTTCCATTTTGGGTAACTCCCTCCTTGCCCTCTCATGAGGATGGCCAGCCCAGGGAAGGGGAGGGTGGTATGGCTGGGATGGGGTAATGGCCAGGATGGGGGACAATGGCTGGGATGGGATAATGGCCAGGATGGGGGTGATGGCTGGGATGAGGATCAGGAGAAGCAAACAGAGACCAAGGGGTGAAGAAGCAGCAGCAGTTTCCAGAAGAGAGTTTTCTGGCTCAGTTTGTGTTGTAAGAAGGTTTTACGGTTTGCTCGTTTGCTTGTTTGTTTCTAGAAAAAGTGCCCAGAAGAGTCTCCTGTCCCCTTGTCGCTGTGCCCAGAGGGAAGGGGGGGAAAATCTTTGTCGTCGACATGAGCTATAGAAGGAGCCACAGGCCTCAGATATTGCTTAGAAACTCGTATTTCAGATTTAAATACCATACACAGTAAAAATAGAGCTGAAAGTACCGCCCCACATTGTCTGCAAATCATTGCCAGAATGAACAGCTTCAATAAATTAAAAACAAAACAAAAAAATTGAAATATTATTTACGTCTCAATAAAAATTGCAGTAAAACCATTTACCTTTTCCTTTGCGTGTGTGTTTTCGTTTTTTTTTTTTCTTTATATTATATATAATATATATTTATATATGTATAGGGCTGCTCCAGGGCAGCATTTTTAGCATACTTAGCCAGAGAAACAGGAGGGAGCATGCTTAGTGCACCAGGGTGCAGGGAAGGGGCAGCTGTGGTCCCCTCCACAGGCGCTGTGCCCCATTCCCGCAGCCAAAATTGCGACCCTTGCCCATTCCCGCTCGAATTTTATGCCCAAATTTCAAGCGCGGGTCTCCGAGTGATGGGACCGCTGGGGATGGGGGTAGGGGGAGGACCAGGGTGGGTGTAGGAGGGACACTAAGCATCCACCGTTATGTTTCCCGACTCTGGAAACTCATCTGCCTTTGCTTCGGTTTCAGCGCGTACGCTCCCGAAAATGCACGCGCGGGTATAAATACTCCACCCCCACCCCCACCCCTCCTCCCC